AAAATCAGTGAGCCTAGTGCTCCTCATCATGCTCTATCTCATGCCTTTTCCAAAAGTTATTTTATGTAGGGACCCTTTTCTCTGTTGCCTTCCTTTTTTCTTTTTCTTTTTTTTAACTAACTCTACTATATATATATATTATATATATATATTAATAATAATAATAATATTCCCTCTAAATTTGTCGTTTACTTTACTTACTTCTTCCTCCTCCTGTGCTCCTGTTGTAGTATCTTTGCAAAGTGTTTTCACTTTTTTTTTCATTGTTAAACAAAATAATATGTACAAGGTTATTATATTTTCTGTTTTTGTTATTTAATAATAGCTATGGTCTTTATTAACATTGTTTTATTCGGAGGCACAGAAATTTTTAATATATTCCGTTGTGAAACTCAAATATTTTGGACAGAAAGATAAATGAATTATTTTTAAAACATGAATGAATAAATTTTCTTGTGAATACACATATATCTTATGACTTCATTCAGGCCATGTATATAAACATTTTTGAAATTTTTAATACACAACGCACGCCAATAGCTTCCCTGGAGACAGAAAGAGGCCTATATATCGAAGAACAACAGGAATGAATTAAATAGCTGAGAGTTGACAATAAATAATAATCATTTTTCGGCTTGTGATGAGAGAGTTTAAAAGGAAAATTTGTTGAAGTTAGAAACCATATAGTCTAACTGTAATTGTAAATGAGCTAGCCTAATTAATTTATCCCAAGTTAGAAACCATATAGTCTAACTGTAATTGTAAATGAGCTAGCCTAATTAATTTATCCCCACTTTAATTTATCCAAATTAATTAAGTAAAAATAAGTACTAGAGGTAATACTACTTCGATCATTAATATAAGACCTATTTAACTAATTTGATTAGATTAAGAAAGTTAGGTAAGTTAGTTAATTATAAAAATATGACATTTTTTTCCTAAAACACTATAATAATCTTTTTTAATATCCTCCCTCCCTCTTCTATTTGATCATGGTTGAGGGAGTGTCCATAGGATAATTTAGAAAAAATTGATAAATATGAGAGACATGTCTTATATTTAGGATCAAAATCAACTCAATAATTAGGTCTTATATTAAGAACTAAATGGAGTATTATTTAATTATAATTGTAAAGGAGGCTAACATCATAAAGTGATAAACAAACAAAAACTATATCTTTTTTTCTTTTGGTAAGAACAAACCTATATCTGTTTGAAATTATTGGAAGTTTCGTTTAGTGGATATCTTTTCACATGAGAGATTATTTTAATAGTTCTGATATGAGTAAATTAAATTTGCTTAAAGCCAAAATACTGAGGTTAACAATTAATCCTCTCAATTGGTGGGCCTTCTTTATTCTTGATCTCCCAAACATGCATGCCATTAAATGTGTCGCTGCATGGGAGGATTATTATTAGGACTACGCCCTCCATTATTTTATTTTTACCGCCTTTTTTCACCTTTTATTTTATTTAACATATAAAAGCTCCATAGCTAAGAAAGATAGAGTGGTCCAGAGGGTTTTGATAATGGTAAAGATATATAGGAATCACTTCAACATACGTGTAAACCAAACCACAAACATCCACAAATTCCGCAAAGGCCTCACTAAATAATTAACATTGAGCTTTTTTTTTTTTCTTTTTCTTTTTTTCAAATAGCCATAAGGCAAAAGACAGAATTAAAACAAAAGTTTATATATGTGGGTAATGGAGAGGCCCCATGTAAAGACAGCGCATGGGGTTTTTGAGGGCCTCATGGGGCACAAGTGCCTCCCCCGCCATCCTACCACGTGACCTTTCTCTTGCCAAAATAAAAACAATATTATATTTCTCCGTGATCCTTATCGTAGAACTTAATTTGAAATTAATAGTATCCTTATATAATATTTATTTCATATGTTTCTTTTTTTTTTTCAAATTGACCCTATTAATACTCTTTCAATAATAATCAAGTAAGAGATGGATGGATGGAAGAATTAAAAAAACAAGTAAGAGATGATGGATGGAAGAAATTAAAAAAATAATTAGGGTGTTTTAGAAAAAATATATCATATAACTAATTCAAGTAACATCTTTAATCTATTTAAGTTAGTTAATCAGGTCATATATTAAAGAATGAAAAGTATTATACAATCTCCTTAATAGAAAGTATCCTTCCATTCTAAATATAAGAATTAGTAGATGAGCATATGAGTTGAGCTAACTGATAAATATAAGATTTCAATTTACTGGTATTTGAATTTAATTAATTCTTTTCTCAAACTCTCCCTATTAATTAAACTTATTTAGAAGATTTTCATTAATGAGTAGTTTCAATGTGGAGGAAAAGAAGTGTCTTGAAGGAAATCAAACATATTCTTTACAAATAACTAATTAAATAAATTTATTAATTTTTAAATATTTTACAGCTCCCATATATTTCATCGGAAATAAGCAAAAATAAAATACAAAAAACGATATAAAAAAAATCAGTTTTTTTGGAGTTTTGAATTGTAAAATGATGCAAATCAACTTGAAAAATTCAAAAATTCGACTTGTTAAAAAGGCATTATTAAATTTAACTTTTAATATAATGATACAAGTTAACTTTTTGTTTGGAACTTACAAGTAATTCTTCTCCCTTCATCTTTTATAACTCATTATTAAGGTGGGTTTGGAATTACAAGTAATTTTCTTCACCTTCATCTTTATAACTCATTATTAAAGGCGGGGCCACATTTTTCCTATGATCATCATTCATAATCATCGCTGCTTAAAGGGCTTAGCTTTACAAGAACAATTTAATTATCAAGGCATTACCCTCTCGTGACAATAGCTTTATTAATTAACCCCTCTTCTCTATTCACTTTAATCTATGACCATCATGGAGACAAGGCCAGCTGCTTCCACTACTTTTGACTCAATTTTATGTTCTCAATCTCATCCATCTATAGCTCTTTTTCGTATTAATTAATCAGCAAGTTACATATAGTAATAGTAACAGCAATATTTCATGATGATTACTCTCACTATTCCACATATGCACGTAGCATCATGAGACAAACTAAATATTTGATTATTTAGTATCCAATAATGTCCGAACATATATAATTATCTTGAATAGAAGGGTACTTAAGCCTATAAAAGAAAAGCTAAATATAATATATGTTTTCTCTCTCACACAGGGCAATATCACTTTTTCTATATATATATTTCTTCCGGTCATAAACCCTTATACTAATGTGCATAAGGGTATTATATTTAGGACCAGAAGAGTATATATATATCAGTTATGAATATCAATTTGGATCAAAACAAAAGAATCAATTTGAGAACATGAGTAATTGAATAGCCACACAAAGAAAGGTGAAAAACAAAGAAACCTTTTAATGAGTTTAATGTTTTTAGTACTACTTTAGAAGTAGTACGAAGATTTTCTGCGTGAATCTCAACAAATCACTTCTAAAAGTGTCCAGAGCGCAGGCATCCAGATTCAAATTTGAGGAAACAAAGTTAAATGCTTCAAATATATCACAAAAAAAAAAAAACAGAATAAATGTGTGGCAATTTCACTGAAAGAGTAAAGTCATACATTTGAAACGCACAAGTCGTCAAAGACAAGAAGTTGAGAACTCAAATCTCAACCACCAACAGCTTAAAGAGAAAAAGCATATAAAAGGTCCGAATCTTTGGCTTTTATGTATCAACTCAGCAGCTCTCCGGAGGGGGAAAAAAAGACTTAGTTATCTCAGATCATAGTCTTGTTTGTTAAACAAATAAGATTCTTCACGCAAAGGACAAGCAGAAAAAAGAAAATCATGAAAGGAGAATCCACCCAAATATTCTCCCCACAATTTTCTAATACAGATCATGATCGGTGTGATCTGAAAAAAGGTTCGAACCTGTTTGTTTAATTTAAATGTTACAAATGGAGTTCACAGAGAGGTAGGCTTGCTCCATCTTCCTTCGAATCTCCATGGATCATGAAAACCATAGATCTCAGCCATAGGAATAGTACATCCAGAGAATATACATATATCATGTTAATGTTAACACATTTTCCGGTTATCTCTCTGGAAAGCCAGCTTCCACGGAAAAAGAGAGACTGTCCCCTGATGAAGCATGGTCAAAAAGATTCAAGGAATTTCGTAGACACAGAAAGAACAACGGAGGAGAAATGGAGAATATTATCATACAAAATTGTCCCCAGCTAAAAATAATTGCGTCCTTTTGCGAATCTTCTGATTGTGTTTTGTAACTTACCGTGATTTAAATCAACGTAAGGGTACGCGTAGCAGAAATGACTTTGCATGCCTTCTTCTTTCAATACGTACGTAAAATCAACTCATCACTTTGTGTGTGTGTGTATTTTTCATTCCATATGACATTGATTTCAAAGCATATAATTTTTACGTTCATTATTAACCATTTGGTTTATTCCTTTAATCAAGCCTGATTAGTATTTTGAATTATTAAATTCTGTTGATAGTGTCTGCTTTATTTCTACATAACTTTATTCCATATTTCCATGGCTTCATTATAGTGATTTAAAACGCAATATGCATCACACGTTCCTATCTATAATTAAACTCAGTTTGAAATTAATATTAAAATGAATAATAAAAAGTTTTACTTAATATACCCTATCTTTTCTGGTAGACCTTTAAAGAGAAGCTTATATGCTGCTGAATCAGCTTCATGTATTCATAGACCCAAATCTTTATATGAATTTCCTTTTTGATGCAGAAACCAGCTCAGTGTGGTGGTGATGACTGATGACCTCTCTCGCATCTCTTTCATCACCATTTTCTTCTGCAACGAAAAAGCTAAAACAGCAATGATCATCAGATTCAGAATAGAGCGAGGCTCTGGCCCACCATGTGGCCCCCACCTTCAACACTTCGGCTCTGTAACTATTCTTTCTCTCTCCCCCCCCCCCCCCTTATTTCAGACCGTTTTTAAATTCACCATCCACACTTCTCCTGTTTCCTACTCAATAACGCTTCTTTGCCCTCTTCTGCATTTGTGAACTCATGAACTGGGCGACATGGTGGAAATGGAGGGCCTTGGCCTTGGCCATGGCTATAGCGGTGTCTTTTCAGATGGGTGTTTGCCTGGACGCTCATTCTCTTTCTTCGCTTGGGGATGTAATTCTCAGGCTTCCTGGCCAGCCCCAAGTTCGCTTTCAGCAGTTCTCAGGATACGTTGAAGTTGACGATAAGAATGAGAAGGCTCTGTTCTACTATTTTGTTGAATCGGACACTGATCCTGCTTCGAAGCCTTTGGTTCTCTGGCTCAATGGAGGTCAGAAATCTCTTTCTCTCTTCGATGGTCTTTCTGCAATGCTTGAAAATTTTATGTTCATCATTTTTATTTGGAGATTCTGCAAACGTATTAGCTTGTCCCTGGTTTTTATGCAGGGCCTGGTTGTTCTTCCTTGGGAGTAGGTGCGTTCTCTGAAAATGGGCCTTTCAGACCAAATGGGAAAGTTCTAATTGAAAACAAGTATAGTTGGAACAAAGGTAATTTGATAAATCCACACTTATTCCAATCGACAAGTCTGGCCAGAATGAATTACTTCGTTAGCAGATAGCAATTGAGTTTACTGATTTTGCAGAAGCAAACGTGCTGTATTTGGAGACACCCGTTGGGGTGGGGTTTTCTTATGCGAAAGGAAGTTCCTCCCATTTGACAGTAAACGACGAGGCAACAGGTATCTTCAACTGGCATCAATGACTTTAGAAAGCTCCTTTAGACCCTATGTACTGTGGGTAAAGTCACGTACAATATGTCTGCTTCTTAGGCTTTCGGAAAAAAAAGTTGAGACAAAGCAGTGATATTGCTGAAATGCCACACTCAACTTCCCCCCCCCCCCTCCCTTGTATGGTTCCTTTTCGTGATTAATTTTCATCTTTCACTCCCCCCACCATGGTAGGCATTAGAATCAGGGGGTTCGTGCGCTATTATGCTTTTGATTTTGGCATGTTATGGCTAATATGGCTGTCCTTGGATACTCAAATAGTCATTATCTTGTCTTCTGAAGTACTCGTATCCTTGTATTTCTTAAGCCAGGGATAACCTTATGTTCCTGATACGCTGGTTCTCCAAATTCCCCCAGTATAGGCACAGAGACTTGTTTCTGACTGGGGAAAGCTATGCAGGTACCTGTTGAGTTGAGTCACCCCTACCGATCATTTCTTCATTTTTCTTGGATTCAAACTCTGAAAGCAGGGTACTGTGATCATTATTGTTTTTTTTTTCCTTACATTTTTCTCCTCATTCATACCAGGGCATTATGCTCCTCAACTTGCAAAGCTCATGATTGAGATGAACAAAAAGGAGAAGATATTCAATCTTAAAGGCATAGCTGTGAGTAGTCATAGCTATTTTTGGGTGAAGTGAAGCAAATTGGTACTCTCTTGGATATTACCCAAGACCTTAATGGTGTCTTGTATTTATTGCAGTTGGGTAATCCACTTCTAGAATATGCCACGGACTTCAATTCAAGGGCTGGGTTCTTCTGGTCTCATGGATTGATATCAGATTCAACGTACAAAATGTTCACTAAAGTGTGTAATTATTCTCGGTACGTTAGTGAATACTATAGAGACTCAGTTTCGCCTCTTTGTTCAAAGGTTATGCACCAAGTAGCCAGAGAAACCAGTAAATTTGTGGACAAGTACGATGTTACCCTTGATGTTTGCATTTCATCAGTGCTTTCACAGTCCAAAGTTATTTGTCCTCAAACTGAAGTAAGTTCCATCTGTCTAGACATAAATGTATTGTGGGTTCAGTTCTGTTTCTGTTAATTATTGATCAAACATGCAACTTTTTTCTGTTATCTTGCAGCAAGCAAACGAGATGGTAGATGTATGCGTAGATGACAAAGTTACAAATTATTTAAACCAAAAAGATGTACGTGGGGCTCTCCATGCCAGGCTTGTTGGAGTTCGCAAGTGGGATGTCTGCAGCAAGTAATATCTTCCTTACTTAACTATAAATTCTAAGTTCTAACTGGCTTTAAGATTCTTAGTTAGACATTTTCTAGGAAAGATGCATAGACTGATTCAATTACAAAGACATAAGCAAGCATGTTACAGGTGGATTTTACTTAAAAAAATTATGCTTGATAATTGACACACCTCTTTATGATTGGCTGTGTCTAATTGTTTTATTGAAAACACATGGTCAACCTAAATTTTTTCATGCAAGGGACCTGCTATCCTAAGAGCACTGCATGATTAAACTTTGAAGAAAACAGTAATCAGAATAAGCGTAGCTTGCTTAAGATGAATATAATTTCAGGAAACCCAGTAATAATTAATCTGCGTTTTGTTGGTAACAGTATTCTGGACTACGATATGCTCAACCTGGAAGTTCCTACACTTCCTCTTGTTGGATCACTAATAAAAGCCCGAGTTCAGGTCTTAATTTACAGGTAGGTAGGAAACCCCACAAAAAAAAAAAAGAAAGAAAAGAAAAGAAAAAGCTCCTTGGTGATATTTGATTGCTTAGCTCAAAGCTCATACCTCTGACTTGCTAAATGGAATCTCATATTTTTCTCGATACAGTGGAGATCAAGATTCTGTTCTTCCTCTGACTGGTAGCCGCACCTTGGTTCAAAAGCTGGCCAGGAAATTAGAACTGAACACAACAGTTCCTTACAGAGTATGGTTTGCGGGCCAGCAGGTATAAACTAAATATCTCGTTAGTTTGATTTAGTGAGAAACCAGATCTCATTATCTTTGCTAAAAGGTTAATTCTAAACCTAGATGCTTAAAATCTTCTCTACACCATGACAGCAGGACAGGTCTAGTGCTTGACCCAAGATTAATTTTCCTCAATTTTCAGAAATATATAGATCTTGGCTCCATTAAGAGTAAAAGAGCCTTCAGACTTCACTCTCTTGTAATCAGAAACTAATTTATTTATTCAAATCTGCATATAGGTTGGTGGGTGGACTCAAGTTTATGGTAATATCCTCTCATTTGCCACCGTGAGAGGAGCATCCCATGAAGTTCCTTTCTCACAACCTGAGAGATCCCTTGTGCTCTTCAAGTCATTTTTGCAAGGCAGGCCTCTACCTGACAGAATCTTGACACAAAGTTAGAGAGTCTTTTTGATTTAGTTGAAATTGTAAGTAACCATGCTATTAATTAATGCGCTATAATTACGAAATGAGTGTATTATTAACTAATTGTGCAGGATGTCATAGTGAGGTTTTTTTTCTTTTTTTCCCCCCTTTTTTCTCCTTCTTTTCCCCTCTATGCGTGTTGTGTGCCTTCAAATGTAATTGATTCAAGGGTTAGAGAAGCTATTGTATAAATGTTGTGAAAGTAAGGTGGGTTTTTCTTCTTTTCTTATCTAAGATCAATCTGACTTGACTTTTACCTTCCATGGATGTGTGTGTTTCTTTACTATTCACTACTGCTCAAACAATAAAATCCTGCTACACATTATCATAGTCACCTCAATACATCATTTCCTTGACAGGACCCGGGGATCAACTTCTCCCGACATTAACATAAAGGTCCGAAGATTAAGTGACTAGGCACATCAAAACCAAAGTGGATTTCTCCCCGCCTAAAAAGTGATTGACTTTTATGGAAAAGACCAATTGACTTGAACCAGACATCAGTTACCAGTTAAACCAGTCTAACAGAGAAACTAAAAAGATTCCTTTTAGAAGGAAACTGTCGCTTGGGATCAGTGATCAATCAGTCGATAGATGAACTCATCGTTCAATAGATAATTGAAGCCAATCGATTGATATCTGACACTTACAAAACAAGTTTGCTTTAATCCTTGAATATGGAATCCGAAATTGTAAAGGCATTGCCTGTGATTTGTTGAAGAGAAAACCCTTTTTTTCTCTGATTTGCTTTGGGCTATATCAGAAGGTTTAATCCAGAGCATTTCTCGTTTATGCCTTGTACGATGTAAAACGGATTATTTAATATGGGAAATCAATAGTTTAATACTCTTTTCAGTTTTGATTTATATGATTTTTTTTTTGGGAGTGATTTCATGTTTTATGGCGTAAAATATTTTGAAGAAAATCATAATTCATTGATAACCTTATTCTAAAATTACTCTTCATTATTTTTTTTGTTTTGCCAACTAAAATAATTCTTGACTAATTAGATGTAAGTTAATTAGGAGTTTTTTTTTCACTATAATGAAAATGTTTAGGTGAGTTGAGTTCCAAAAGCTTATTAGAGTTAGGGCATGCTTCTAGACTTAAAGAATACTTATAGAGATACCTACATATTGTTTTCTAATAAGATCCTCACAACTAACAATTTTGCCAATTATGATACTACTTCCAGTCCTAATTATAAGAGCTAGTTGACTAATTTGAGAAGATTGAGGAAATCAATTAAGTTAGTTATTTGTAATAAATAAGTGTTGTTTTTCCTAAAATATCCTTATTAATCAAGTTTATTGGCTAGAAATGCTATTATTGGAGGGATTATCTTAGAAAAAAATACACAAATATAGGAGACAAAGTGGATTGGGGTCTTATAATTAAAATTAAAATAAAAATTAAATGAGGTCTTATATTTACCTCCAGTCCTAAATATAAGAGCTAGTTGACTAATTTGAGGAGATTAAGAAAATAAGTTAAGTTGGTTAATTGTAATAAAAAGATGTTGTTTTTCCTAAAGTATCCTTGCTAATCAAGTGTATTGGTCAGAACTACAATTATTAGAAGGGTTACCTTGAAAAAAAATTGATAAATATGATAGACAAAATAGATTAGAGTCTTATATTTAAGACTAAAATAAAAATTAAATGAAGTTTTATATAACGATCACACTGCATGGTATTTTGATATTGCCCGCCAGGGCTTTTGAATATAGTGGGCTCAGTTCTGCATGTTATTTTGATGTTGCAGGCCACGGTGGTTTCTTTCACTCTATTGTTTGCCTCTCAAATTCTGTCCTCGCTGGTTCTTTCATTATGTTGGGCCTTACTAACGTTTTCTGTTCAACATGCATGTCTTGTCGGGTCGACCCTGAAACACATCGACGCGCAGCATTGTGACGCAGTAAGCGAGAAGATAACGATGAAGGCCTTGCAATTTTTTTATGATTAATATAATTGTTAGTCATTATCATAGTTTGATCAAAATATGATATTAATTTTGTTACCATAACATAAAAATTCAGTCCGCGTTTAACAATAGTTTTTTATACTTTTAACGAGTTTTAATATTTGGTCCAACTGCCTTGTTTTATTCCAAAACAATTTTTGTTAAAGATTAAATATGAGCACATCTTTTATTAAGAATTCAAATTTTAATTTTATATTTTATGAGAGACTAATCCCTCCCATTATAGATAGCTTCGGTCTCAAACAGACAACTGTCCACAACAAATAAACGGTAACGATATCAAATCAAACTTGTATCAAAAAACAAATGAAAAAGACTTCAGCCCAGTGAAGCCCTGGTGAAGCCTTTGAAAAACAAAGACATGAACTCAGTCGTGTCATGCTGCACCGCCACTGTAACCTTACTGAACAACCAAGCTAAAAGAAACATAGATTGAACTGTACCAACTGCGAGCTCGACTGAACAAAGCATAACTTAGAAAGAGGATGAGCCGCATTCATCACATTCAATGCAGGGACTAAGAGCAGTCCATCCCCATTGTTTAAGTTAGAAAGAGACATCCACAATTGTCTACCTATCATCCTGCTTTATTTCTTTCCAAGACAAGTTTTTCTTTTGTTTTTTTTTTTAAACTGAAAGCTCGTTAAACCCCATCGAAATATTGAACTCAGATGCTCCCCCCACATGTCCATTTCCAGAAAGACTGTTGCGAGATCTCAATCTAAGGACAATTATTTATTTATCTCACAAATTTTTAATGATTTAGGCCAACTAATAGCAGTACTTCACACAGACACATTTAAATATTTAATGAGCAAAGATATACAATACAGTCAAGACTGAAGACTGCGCGTGCATATGATTTCGTGATCGTGACAGCCGTCATTTGCTGAAAGCAAAGCTTCGTTTTCCGAAGCCCTGACTGAGACTGACCCACCACCATGGCCTCCGCCACCTTTTGGAAAAGCACGTCATTTCTTTCTTTGTAAACCATACTCCCCTACACTGCTCAAGTGGACAGTGGCAGTTAGGCTGGGCTTCTCTTCCCCCCCCCCCCGGGGCTCCAAACTCCTGAAATTCCTCTCAAATCCCCTGAAAAAAGCAAACTTCTTTGGCCGCCATTCCGTGCGATTTTGACTTCAAATTCTCACAAAAGCCCGCTCTTTTTCCGTTTTTCTTTTCTTATTTCCATATGGCAAAAGAGCAAAACCACGACGCTGCCATCATCAACCCTCTTCGACGCCAGGTTTGCATTTTATTCTGTTCTATCCTTCTCTTCCTCTTTCCCTCAATCTGATTACAAAAAAATGAATGATCACACCCATCATGCTGTCTTTTACATGCCATTATTTTAGATCTTTTTCTGTACCGAGTGTGATCTCGGAGTTGATATAATATTTTGATCGCCCTGGACTAATCCGCTGTGTTATCATACGTTGAGTTTATAATTACATGTGGGGATTGCAGAGCAAAGACGAAGATAGGGAATTGGAATTTGGATCCGACGAGCCTGAGGCTCCATTGCCTCTCACTGCTACTTCCCGGGTTTGTTTCTTTCCCCCTGACTTCACTGACTTTGTGATTTTCCGATTTCACTGGTTATTCAGGTTTTTTTCACTGTGCTATACTGCAATTGCAAAGATCGATAGATGTTTACGCTGTTGGAAACTTGAAGATTTACTTTTTCTTTGGGAAATCTGCAATGCACGCAGGTCTTGTATATGTTGGGAGATATCGCGGCAGGGCCTGCGTTTAGGTTTACGCAATGGCTCGAATCGGTTCGTAAACGCACTGCCAGAAATCGCCCCTCTGGCTTCCCCCACCGCCTTACGAGGCTTCCCGATGCTATGCCTAGGTTACTCTTCCCATTCATTCTTTTCCATTTGAGTCATTTCATGCCCACGTTCTGCCAGGTTTTTGCTTATCTTCAATTACTGTCGTCGAGTTAACCTGTCACACTTATGTACAATGCAATTATTGGATGCTTAAGGATATGCCTTATAAAGCGGATGTTAAAGGGGCATACCGTGAGCAGCTCGTGCATTAAAAGTTCTCTTTCTTCTTTCATCTCGTCTGAAACCCGTAATCAGATATGTCTAATCAATGACTCAGAATCTGTTAATAATTTTAATATTGTCTTTTTTAAAACAAACGAACCAACTAATATTCTATATGCTATATTGTTCTTGTGTAGGTGGGTTTTAAGCATCAAAGCCTTAGTTAACAATTGGTTTTTCAAAAATCAGAAGTGACATGCCTCTTCTAAAAATAGTGATTTTTTTTTTTTCCTCTTGGTTTCCAGTTCAGAAGGATCAATGGACGATCCAAAAAGTATTTCACCTCCTGTGCAAACAACAGAACTTAGTTTGTGGGAAAGACTTGGTAATGCTGCTATCTTGGACATCGAATCTAGTTCTTTTTCTTGGGAGAGGCTCTCTTCACTGCATCACACTGAACACAACAGCAGCACTGAACATTCTGAGGATGAAATGAACAAAGCTCTTGAGGTTTGTATCTTCTATGCTTGTGTACAAGCAAAAATAGATTTATATAACACTTATGTTTTATGTAAAGTCTCTCCAGGTTGAGGAGTGAATATGTACACTGGCTTTGTAACTTGCTTCGATCGTTTTATTTTCACCTTACCCTGAGAGACTGTTATAGGGTGACACATATATGATTTGAAGCACGGCAATACACGTAGGTAACTTAGGATTGATAGTTCTGTGAACTTTTGGAATTTTGTTTCTAGTTTAGCTTCCATCCCTTACATGTTGCCTTGGCACTTTGATATCCTTATGGAAGATTCATAAATAACAGAACGGAATTGAAAGAAACAAAGCGGAAGGAATTTACATCGTCTCTGTTTGGAAGTTTGATAAAGAAGCAGATGAAGATTCACATTTACTAAATGTGAAGGCAAGAATAAGGATCATAGATGTCCAATTACAATATAGTTCTTTTACTCTAATGTACTACTATGGGCGTAATTGTATTACTAGCGGAAGAAGATGCATGAACCTATTTGAGTTACAGGTCCATACAATTTAACGTTGTGTTTCCTTTTCTGAGGCTTTCTTCAATCATCACTTTTTCTGATAAGTAATAAACCAGGCAGTGAAATTTTAAACCTGTAGATAATTATTCTATATTCATAATCAAATTTGTCGGAAGAAATGGGGTGGAAGTTACCTACTCAAAGAGCAAATGACTTCTAGAATGCAACATAGTTGGAGTGAAAATTTGAACTTGGGATAGATATATAACTTAAAGGATAATAATGTTTATCAATAATTCAAATTCATATTCCCTCCCTTTACCCCTTAATCTGGTAGGGAATAAGAATGAGTTTGTGGATGGAAAAGGGATGGAAACTGTTTTCTCATTTTCCGTTTCGGTTCATTATTTTCAAAATTTCCAAACAAGGAAGTTTCCTTTCCATTCTGTCGATTACCATGCCCACAAACACACTAAGGCGTCTGCACTTGACTCGTTAATTTCTATCAGCTTGTTGACAGAATGGGTACTTGTCCATTCTATACACATTATATGAATCATTAATCATTTATTGTATTTTCTGTTTATAATAAAGTTTTTATTTTTGAAAAACAGAAATATTTGGTACACTTTATTTATTTTATTATCTTGCCTCAATTTCCGCTCAGTTGTGTGCACATAGGTAACTGTAAATTCTGGTGGAGTTGTCTTCTTTGCCTTCTTTAATCGCCTTGGGAGTGATGATACTTCTTCAAAGGAGGAAGCTGCTGTAATAAAAATATCATCGTCTAGAATGGCGACACAATCTGAACGCCTTGGATATGAATTTGCCAAGTGGTTGGGAGTCCAAACTCCTCAGGTGTTGCCTTTACTTTGATTTACGATAACTGTTACATCTGCAAGCTTGGGTTAGTAGGCTATAGTTCTGCCAAATTCATTTTCTTGTATTACTGGGAAAATGCAGGCTAGAGTTATTCACAATACCAGTCCAGAGTGGCTTCAAATAAAGGAAGCTGCAGAAAAAGCTAGAAATAGAGCATTTTCTGAAGGAGATGAAATTGGTGAAATGACTTGTTTAGAACTTTTGGAAGCACTCGAGCTTAGTAGGTGCCTCTTTTTTATGAGGTATGATCCTAATATTGGTTTAATGTGATAAAGTGTCATAAGATGGTTGTAAGGGATATCTTTTCTTGCTTTGTCACTTCCCTTTTTCTGGTGTAATTGGTACAGATATGGCTGATATGCTCATGTACAAGATTGTCTATTGACAATCAGCATGCCTTCTATAACTCTTCAGAGTTGATTGTTGTATTCTTCTTATAAAGTTCCACTGCCTTGTCTCTGCCAAGAAAGTGTCTCACGGAACTCATGTTTATTCTTTTTTCCTTTTAATTTAGATATTGCTTGAATAATCTATATAACAGTGTCTGCTTCTTCAGGATGATAAATTATTTCTTTTAGGTTTCTAGCATTTTTACGAAAATCCAAAGAATGATTCTTGGAGAATTATGATTGTGTTTTATTTGAATTGAATCATTAGCTCTCATCTGTGGACAAGGAAGGTTTTTATGAAGTTTTACCCGAGTTATTAGTTCTGTCAGTTATATAATGCACGAGTTCCATATAAGCAGGATGAATTTCCCCACTCTCTCAGTTTGAAATCATGAAAATGGTCGCAAATACTATGTCTTGCCAGGTGTTGTTGGCATGGAAGGGATGTGCATGTTTAAATGGAAGACTCGTGTGTCCTTTTGCTAGTGGGAAGGTGTAAATGAAAGTTGACATAGTAAGAAATGAGACTATATCCTCGCCAGGGCATTTTTGTGCTGACATTGAGTGCTAGTAAATTAGACAGATTCCATTGTGGCCATTTCCTAGGAAAGACAACAGCAATTAACACTGTACACCTTGTTTCACAAGTACATGGCTGCTTCTTTCTTTTTCCCTTTTTTATGTTTTTTATGACATTACTTTTGATTGGTTAAAGTAAATATTCAACATCTTTTTGCAGTTATATACATGGGTCACCTTTGTTAGAAAGCTCAACTGCATTTGAGTCTCAGGAATCTGCTGAAAGAACGGCAGCAGCTCTTGGCAGGGTATTGATGCTAGACCTAGTCATCAGAAATGAAGATAGGCTCCCATGCCGTCAGCTTAGATGGCGTGGGAATTCTGCAAATTTGCTGTTGGCTGAAAAGATGATGTCTGCAACCGCTAACTCTCTTGAAAAGGCCTTTGATTCTGCCATGAATCAATATAGACCAAGGGTGATAAGGGCACTTCAAAAAGAAAGAAGATCAACTTCTGTAGGTATCAGATTGAGTCCTAATAATCCTGGATTGCTTTCACAGGCCTCTGATACCTCAGATATCTCAGAATCACCAAGTTGTAGTGACATTAGCCTTGAAAGTCCAACTTCCGGTGAATCACAATGTACTGACATTGTGGCTATTGATTCTGGTGTTCCTCGGCGACCCCCTGCTGGAAAACGTGCAGATGATCAGGCTAATTATCCTAAGTTGGTTGAGTTACTTATCAATAGTTCTGGGTTTTGCTCGAACCTGTTACATGATATCACTGGAGGAAAATTAGGATCTCCTTCACTAGAAGAAATTAATAAAACTACTGATGTATATGCAAGTGAGACAGCATCAGTAGTTCATGAGTTCCGTAGCGGTTTCCGTGCTGCTCTTAGAGATCTTCAGGGATTTCATATATTCCTACTTACTCTACACCAAAAGCTTGATAGCTTATTAAGGTCATTTATGAACATTATAAGCAAAACATCACCAGGGGAGTCTGACAAAGAGGATTCAATGGTTCCTGATTCACCTTCACTAAATACTGGAGACGGTAGCTGTCCATCTCCAGCAACCAAGGACAGATCTGTTATCGAAAACCATCCAGATTATAGTGATTCAGAATCACAGAGAACCGCTCCAAGGGTATCATGGTCAGGGAATAAAGAAAACTCTGATACTGCTTCTCCTATGTCAAGGGAAGGTTGGCATGGAAAGTTCTACAAAGGAAGTGGGGATCCACTTCGTAGTAGTCTTCGCTTAACAGCAAAGCTACGCGACTTCCATAAATATGCAAAGGTCAGTCTCTTTTTTTTTTTTTTTTGGCCAAAAAAGGTTAGTCTCACTGGAAACATAACTTTGTTTACCCGTTTGGTGATTTTGGTCCCACTGGTAGAATCATCTAAATTGTTAGCCTCATAGGAAACAATCTGTGGCATATTGCTCTATTGTTTCATTAGGTTTAATTCTAAACAAGTTTTAATTTGATTAAAATTTTAAAAAAATCATCAATAAATATATGAAACATTTTAATCACAATAGAAAAAAGATGATACTGCAACTGAAAAATAGCAGGGGCTAAATATGTTAACAGTGATTTTGAGTGAGCATATTTATCTCAATAATTTTCTGCTTCTGACTTATTCTAAAAAGGAGAAGCACCTCTGCAGAACGAAAAACGAAAAAAAAAAAGAAAAGAAAAGAAAAGAAAACTTCTGCTATTACTTTAGAGTAGGTTTATTAATTTATCATTCTCCTCCAAAGCTGAAAATGAATACTTTTCTGAAAAATAAGCTGCTTATTTTTTGTTTTAAGAAAAACCCCAACAATGTGGTTGGCAAAGGAGAATTGTGAAACATTTTAAACTTAGCTTTGCCTTTGCCATGTAGCAACACTTTTTTGTATTCCTCTCTTACCATGAATCCAGGTTGATGCAGAGTCTAATAAAGAATTAGAACAGTGGAACGAAACACTTAAAAGTGATGCCATCAAGCTATGCCAGGACAACAATTTCAACACTGGATTTTTTGAGTGCAGCGATAATAACAGTGTTGTTGATGCATATGAACTGAAGGTATCTTGGACTATAGTCTTTTGCAGAATTAAAACACCGAAGACTTTGTCTAGTTGTGAGGAACGTGCATATTCACATAGGATATACGTTTAAATTTCAGGTCAGACTTGAGCACATTCTTGAAAGGATTGCATTAATCTCTGAGGCTGCAAATACAGAGAAGCCATCTGCTGTTACAAATAGTCTATTCATTGGTGGGGCACTGGCTGCAAGATCTGTATACACACTGCAACACTTGGGAATCACTCATATTCTGTGTTTGTGCACCAATGAAATTGGGCAGTCTGATTCTCAGTTTCCTGATCTATTTAAGTACAAAAATTTCTATGTAAGTCAAATTTTCTTTTGTTTTATTCAACTATTTTAGTCAATTATCTGCAGAAGCTTAGTTATTGTCTTGTCCTTGCTCCTGGCTGGTGTTGAGAACAAGGTTTGCTCGTACATGCACCCTCATGGCATGAATCAAATTAATTTTGCATAGTAGCCTTGGAATTTTTATTCACCACTTGTGTAACTACTTCTTGGAGTTTTTCAATCATTATGTGATATTCTTACTCTATAACCTTTTCTTAGACAAATATGGGATCCAGGTGACATTGAAAGCTTTATTTCTTTCTGCATTTTCTTTTCGTTGCCAATTCCTATCTCTTTGTTCTATTGTGAAAGGCATTACAGTTATGATAGTGATTAGAGTCCAATGAGCTAACTATGAGAAGTCAGATTATCTACTAGGGGCGAGCTTCAACATGTTATTTGTTATGCTTGTGATCTGTGTGCTCCTTTATCTTACGCTATACACTCGTTCTTGTGCTCGTGCATAATATACTTTAGTGTTGGATAGGATACCAGCTATACTCTTGCTGTCAGATCCAAGGGGGTATTCATGTTAATCTTATTCTCTGTTTTCATTATTGGAACAGGTTTGTGACGATATAGATTCTAACATCAGCAGCATATTTGAAGAAGCCTGTGACTTTATTGATCATGTTGAACAGAAAGGCCAGAGAATTTTAGTTCATTGCTTCGAAGGGAAAAGCAGAAGCGTCACGTTGGTCCTTGCTTACTTAATGCTCAGGAAGTAAGTAAAATATAAAAGGGGGAAACCGTGTAATCATATTCATGTGTACATTAGAGAATGATACTACTAATATACATCAACAACCAATCTACCTCTTTTTCTTTTATCTTATTTTATTTCATCTGGTAGATGGAAATTTAAAATTAATTGACTTAGATGCCAGAAAACTATCTTGTTGTAATTGAGCATGTGGCAAACGCGAAATTCTTCTTCCATAGTTGAGAGTCACTACAAAGTATCTTGAACATTGGCAACCATAAGCTTTTGTGAATTGTGGCGCAGGAAGTTCACTTTACTAGAAGCATGGAATATTCTGAAACGAGTTCATCGTCGAGCACAACCCAATGATGGCTTCGCAAAGATCTTACAGGAATTGGATAAGAAACTGCATGGAAGGGTCTCCATGGAGTGGCAGCAAAGGAAACCGATGATGAAGGTTTGTCCAATTTGTGGAAAAAATGCAGGACTAAGTAGCAGCTCGCTTAAGTTGCATCTGCAGAAATCCCATAAAAAACTATCATCAGGGAGCGTGGATAGTGCTATGACGATGGAGATCCAGAAGGCTTTAACAGCTTTGAAAATTAGTCGTGGCGGGAGTGTCAGCCCCACGCAAAGGCAGCCTAGTTCAATAGTGGATGAGTGAATGCAAATTGCAAATTCATTTTGATGCATAAATGTCAACGAGGTTTATTCATGTCTTACAAATTTGATCTGTTTCCTTTTCCACCCTCTCTTCTTCTGGACGCAAGTAGATAGGACATGGAAAGTAGTTGAGGCAGCTTCAAATATGATTTTATACATACATCACTGAAAGTATGTGCATGTTTATAGAACAGATGTAACACAGTTTATATTGTATAATGAAGCCATGCATGTGTCCTGGTTTGCGCTTGTTTTGGATTCTGTTTTTTTTTTTTTTTTAATATTTCTACCCTGAATAATCATATTAAAACTATGCTATTATATAGTAATATACGTAGGAAACTTTTGTTTAATGTTTGCAAATTTAATTATTATTATTTTTTCTTAGTAGTTCTTTAGTTTGTGTTTTTTTTAAACTAAAAATGCTTATATAAGTTATAGTTTTATCACGATGGTTGAAAAAGTATTTATAATTTTTTATTATATAATTTTATTTGTATAAGTATCTTTTTTTTAATTGTTGAACTACTTATTTTACTATTAAATAATCTTCAAATATTATTTCATCGTAGTAAATGATTTATAATTGAATTGCACATTATTTTATATTACGCTAGGGAAAAAAACATTATTTACAATTTAGTATGGAGCTCTAACAAATTTCTGGAAAAATCTTGTACCTTATACTGTCAAACTAAAAAGAAAAAAACCTAAACAATAAATAATTAAAAAAGTACTACTTTCAATCTTTTATATAAGAGCTAATTGATTAGTTTAAGTAAATTAAAAAAATTAGTTAAGTTAGTTATTTATAATAAGTAGGTATTATCTCTCTTAAAATATCATTGCTAATATGTATATTGGGTAGAGCTTCTAATTTGATAAAACTTTTAATATATGCAACTATTGTAAGGATTATTTTAAAAAAAATGGATAAATATGAAAAACAAAGTGAATTGAGATTTTATATTTAGGAACAAATTAAAAGCTTCTGATTTCAAGGACGAGAGATAGTATATACATTTCTATAAGAAATCTACAAGTCTATAACAATTGTATAAGAAATTAATATTAGAATATTTTATTAGAATACTCCATAGATACGCTAAACTTTGAAAATATAAATTCTAGAGGGTAAATGAGTTCCATTAATACATTTAGAAGGTGATCCTGCACTCAAGGTTAACCATCCCCATGAAGAATAATTAACAATCTAGTTAAAAATAAGGGAAAATTACAAATAAAAACCCTCCAATATATAAAATAGCTATTAGGGACCCTGAATTTGAAAAATAGCTTCAAAGGACCCGGTCCCAAATTACAAATATGAAATGATGGTGGAATGTCCAAAATGCCCTCTGTTTTTTTCTCTTTCTTCCTCTCCAGATCATCTTCTTCCCGACCTTTCCTCCTCATTTTCCTCTCTCTCTTCATTCCCTCTTTCCTCTCCAAGTTTCCTTCCCAAAGTATATGGAACTCAAAATGTCCTTCGGTAGTCCTATCTTCATTGTCATCCCCCGTCACTTTCTTCTTATCTTGCTTAACTGCTCTTTCGTCGACAATGAAACCTCTTCCATCATTCTCTCTATTGCTGTGGAAGGAGAGGAGAGTCGGGGAGTTTGAGGGAGAGTGATAGTCATTTGCAATGCTTGTAATGTTTGCTTGCAATATGTGTGATGATTGCTTGGTGCTAAGACAACGCCCAACAAATCTGAATTTTTATTCTTCATTTCTATTTTGATTTTCAGCTTGTGTTCATAATTGAAAATAACAAGTTTGATAAGTTGTTGAAAATAAGAAGTTGACAAGTTCTAATACCCACTTCACGACAAGTTCAGTAATGCGAATAACAAGTTTAGCAAGGTAAATAACAACTTCTGATAAGCAATTCATAGAAATTCGAGTTTCTGTGTTAAAATGACAGCATTTTCATATTTCTTTAGCAGATGACAAGTTCTGATACACAATTCATAACAAGTTCAGTAAGATGAATGACAACTTCTGATAAGCAATTCATAGAAATTTGAGTTTCTATGTTAAAATGACAGGTTCCCATTAGGTTTTCATACTTTTTCTGTTAAAATGACTGGATTTCCACATTGATTTATCAAATGATAGGTTCACAATAGAAAATGACAAGTTTTCATAAGATTTTCATACTTTTTTTGCTGGAATTACAGTTTATACATTTTTGACAGCAACCACTTCTGATAAACATGAAATGACAAGTTCACAATGAAAAATGACAAGTTAAGTATGGGAAATGACAAGTTCCCATAACGTTTTCATATATTTTCATACTTTTTCTGCTAGAATTACAATTTGCACATTTCTGACAGCACCCACTTCTGATAATTGCAAACAAGCTCTAAATTGTGAAAATCAAATATGATGATTGTATTTCGGTAGATAAATCGACCAAGGTGTGGGATGTGAGGAACAAACGAGTCCTAAATACAGTGCTAAATGAATAAAGTTCTCGCCTTATATGTAGAATTTGATGGTTTCTTGTTTATATGATATGACAATTTACATTTGGGATTTCATGGTTGAGGATGCACTTGTGAGTGGATATGATCATCGTAGTGCATTTGCCGCTGGTGTTGATATGAGCATGCTTCTTGAGGGGCTTATGAGAGTTCTGGTGCTATAGTTTTATACATTAAGAGGAAATGAGAGGTGAAATTGATGATGAAAGATGTTAATTAGAAGTGGTTGCTGTCAGAAATCTGCACATTGTTATTTTAGCAGAGAAATTTACATTTGTATGAAAACGTGATGGGAACTTGTCATTTTACATACTTAACTTGTCATTCGCTATTATGGACTTGTAATTTACTGTTTATCAAAAGTGTTTGCTGTCAGAAATCTGCACATTGTTATTTTAACAGAGAAATTTACAATTGTATGGAAACGTTATGGGAACTTATTATTTTACATACTTAACTTGTCATTCGCTATTGTGGACTTGTCATTTACTATTTATAAAAAAATGGTTGCTGTCAGCAATGTGCAAATTGTAATCCAAGCAGAAAAAGTATGAAACCATTATGGGAACTTGTCATTTGCCATACTTAACTTGTCATTTTCCATTATGAACTTGTTATTTCGTGTTTATAAAAAATGGGTGCTGTCAGAAATGTGCAAATTATAATTCTACCAGAAAAAGTATGAAAATGTATAAACATTATGGGAACTTGTCATTTGCCATACTTAACTTGCCATTTTTCATTATGAACTTGTCATTTCGTATTTATCAGAAGTTGTTGCTGTCAGAAATGTGCAAACTGTAATTCCAGCAAAAAAAGTATGAAAATCTTATGGAAACTTGTCATTTTCTATTGTGAACTTGTCATTTGATAAATCAATGTCGAAATCTAGTCATTTTAACAGAAAAAGTATGAAAACCTAATGGGAACCTGTCATTTTAACACAGAAACTCAAATTTTTATGAATTGCTTATCAGAAGTTGTCATTCGCCTTATTAAACTTGTTATTTGACTTATTGAACTTGTCATAAATTTTGTATCAGAACTTGTCATCTGTTAAAAAAATATGAAAATGCTGTCATTTTAACACAGAAACTCGAATTTCTATGAATTGCTTATCAGAAGTTGTTATTTTCCTTGCTAAACTTGTTATTCGCATTATTGAACTTGTTGTGAAGTGGGTATCAGAACTTGTCAACTTCTTATTTTCAACAACTTATCAAACTTGTTATTTTCAATTATGAACACAAGCTGAAAATCAAAATAGAAATGAAGAATAAAAATCCAGATTTGTTGGGTGATGTCTCAGCACTAAGCAATTATCATACACATTGCAAGCAAACATTACAAACATTGCAAATGACTATCACTCTCCCTCAAGCTCCCTGACTCTCCTCTCCTTCTACAGCAACAGAGAGAATGATGGAAGAGGCTTCATTGTCGACGAAAGAGCAGCTAAGCAAGATAAGAAGAAAGTGACGGGGGATGACAATGAAGATAGGACTACCGAAGGATATTTTGAGTTCCATATACTTTGGGAAGGAGTGAGGAGAGGGAAGGAAACTTGGAGAGGAAAGAGAGAACGAAGAGAGAGAGAAAAATGAGGAGGAAAGGTCGGGAAGAAGATGATCTGAAGAGGAAGAAAGAGAAAAAAAACAGAGGGTATTTTGGACATTCCACCATCATTTCATATTTGCAATTTGGGACCGGGTCCTTTGAAACTATTTTCCAAATTCAAGGTCCCTAATAGCTATTTTATATATTGGAAGGTCTTTATTTGCAATTTTTCCTAAAAATAATTGGCACTTCAAATTATCCGTAATGAAATTTTATTTTTTTAAAAAAAGATTGCTTAGCTTGTCCATATGGTTTGGTTTGTTTGATGCGTTGTTGGCAAAGAAATGTTTTGTTCAAGGGAAATTGACATAAAAAAAGTTTAAAATTGTAATATTTCAATTCAGACACTCAAGACTTCAAAATCTCAGGGAAAGAAGTGATGTCTGATTGAGTATTTTACAAATGTAGTTAAATGACAAAAATATCTTTATATAAAAAAGTTTATTAACAAGTTGTGAACTGATAATGATAAATGTTGAACAACAAATAACAAGAAATGTACTGACAATGAGAAGTTATTTATCAATAAGTTGTAAACTGACAATAACAAGCATTAAACAGTTAATAACAAGAAATGTACTAATAATAACAAATTTAATAGCTTTTACTTTAAATATAATATAATAACATTTTAATCATTTAACTATATTTATAAAATATCAAATCAGACACTTTTTTTTTTTTTAAGGATTTTGAACTTTTAGGTGCCTGAATCTAACTTTTTTTTATGTCATTTTTCTTTTGTTCAATGAGTTACCAAATATCAAAACAAAGAAGCTTAGGCCAAAAACCTAAAAAAAGGCAAAACAAATCCAATGCTTTAGAAAAAAGACCTTAATATAAAGATTATGAGGAAGCGTTTAATCATAAGGATCGGAGAATATAAAAGCTCATCTATTCTTAAAGTTATCCCTTACAGACACGAATTCATCTCAAATTTCAAAGCTAAATAGGAACCTCTGAAAGAAAACAACAAATCATAGCCAAGTAACAATAGTGCGATGTTACCACTTTAGTATCCCCGTCAAGAGAATTTTTCCTTGTCATACAAGCATGTTCGGGTTAACAAGTATTCTTGCCATCTCAACTCATGAGTCATGACACCACCCCGCATTCATACTGTAAAGCTGGGATAATTCATAATATTACACAATCGCAAACGCATATCTACAAGTTCAAGTTATCCCAGCTAGAACAAACACAGGCTTTTTCCTGTCCATCAGTAATAGTAAAAAGATTTGGTTCACTTTCAAAAAAGACCAAACATGAGAAATGTTTCAGTAAGACATGAATACGAGCATCATCTCTACAAGGGCAACCTGTTAAGATGGCCATTTTATACAGGGATAGCCTCCGGCAAGGTCTCTGGAGCACCACTGCTTCCATTCAGCACAATCACATTCCCATCAGAATCGACATCCACTATAACAGAATCACCCTCCTTGATCTCTCTAGCAAGCATCTTCTCAGCCATGCTGTCCTCCAAAAGTCGCATTATGGCTCTTCTTAAAGGCCTGGCTCCATAACTGGGATTATAACCTTCCTCGACCACTCTATCCCTAAACCTTTCGGTAACTTGAAGTTCAATTTCTTTGGCTTTAATCTGTCAAAGACTTCCTTCAGCATTATATCAGCAATCTCCTTCACTTCCAGCTTTGTGAGTTGCCTGAAAACAATCATTTCATCTAACCTATTCAAAAACTCTGGTCTAAAGTATTGTTTCAATTCCTCAGTCACCAGACTCTTGATACGGTTATAGCTGCTGTCCTTCTCATCATAGTCAAGGTCGAATCCTATTCGACGGCCACCTTTCTCAATCACACTGCTTCCTACGTTTGAAGTCATTATCAGAAGTGTATTCTTGAAGTCCACAGTTCTGCCCTTGCTGTCTGTTAGCCTTCCGTCTTCAAGAATTTGAAGCATCATGTTGAATACATCAGGATGAGCTTTCTCGATTTCATCAAAGAGGACTACAGTATAGGGCCGACGCCGAACTGCCTCAGTCAACTGGCCACCTTCAGTGTAACCGACATATCCAGGAGGGGAACCAATGAGCTTAGAGACAGTGTGCCTTTCCATAAATTCACTCATGTCAAGCCGAATCATGGCTTCTTCAGAGCCAAAGTAGTATGCAGCCAATGCTTTTGCCAACTCAGACTTCCCTACACCAGTTGGACCAGAAAATATGAAGCTGGCAATGGGACGATTCGGGTTCTTTAACCCAACCCGGGCTCGGCGTATAGCCCGACTAATGGCTTTCACTGCTTCATCCTGACCAACAACCCTTTTGTGTAGGGTCTCCTCCATCTTAAGGAGGCGATCAGATTCATCTGTTGAGACTTTCTCAACTGGGATACCAGTCCAAGAAGAGACGATGTGTTGGATGTCAACTTCAGTAACAACTGGACCTACATCTCCTGCCTCACTCTCAGCCTTGCTCATCTCCTTGCCTTTCTCTACAAGTGCTGAGATTTGTGCCTTAAGATCCATTTCTCTATCTCGTAGCTCTCCTGCCTGCTCAGAATTTCAAGTGTCAGCAATCCATTAATTATTGACTAAACAAGATTTCAAATTAACAGGAGACAAAATAACTTCATTAAAACAATGAAAATGTCAATAATATCCTCTTAAGTTATAATGAAACAAGTTGCTTCAAAATTTTAAAGAAACCCATCATTCTCTTTTGTAATAAAGCCATAGACTGTCTCTAAAAACATCAGTTTCACCAAAAACATACAAGTAGTCTTGAAATAAAAGGCATTACTTTTTCAAAGTCTTGGTTGCGGACAGCTTCTTCTTTCTCCTTCACGATCTGCCTCACCTCTTTGTCCAGCTCTTTAGCTTCTTCAGGTAACTAGAATGACATAAACCCAGCTCAAGTAGCACAAAACTAATCAATAAAAGATCAGCTAGGGTAAAAATACACAAGCTACCTGTGCGTGTTGGAGTCGAACTCGGGATCCAGCCTCATCAACCAAATCTATAGCTTTGTCGGGCAAAAATCGATCACTGCAGGGAACATAATCATTTAAAAACCAGGAATCACTTGGTTAAAATACAATGGAGCATCTAATTAATCAAAAGATATTGCACAATTACATTAGAAATAAAATTTTAACAAAGGAAAGAGGACAATTCACATTGCACCGCCAGCTTCATTCCAGCTTCAACACGGAACCTTATATACTACATCAACAAAAAAAAAAAGAAAGAAAGAAAAAAAATAAATGGCAACAAACCTGATATACTGGTGAGAGAGCTGAGCAGCAACTACAAGAGCTTCATCAGTGTACCGGAGTTTGTGGTGAATCTCATAACGTTCTCTAAGCCCTCTCAGAATTTGTATTGTCTCATCCACAGTAGGTTCCGGTACTTTAACTGGTTGGAACCGCCTCTCCAATGCTGGATCTTTTTCAATGTGTTTCCTATATTCATCCAGAGTTGTGGCTCCTATACACTGTACAAATCATTAAGCATATAGTTACTAAATCTAATTTCAATATAAGCAGCAATAGCTATATTTAACAACTTATCAGTGGTCAACAAAGTAACAGCTTGCCAAGAACTCCGTAAACAGTTAGTCTAACTTCATCATTTGGCATTCTAAGATTAGAACTGTTTTGGAATTTCATATTCCAAACCTCAATGTTGGTTATTACTTACTAGTATTAATTTGGGTGGCTACATGCCAGCAATAATTGTAACTATATTGGCAATTGATAGCTGACCTAAAGCAGCCTTTTCTGATGTTCAATAATGGTTTCACTTCAAAGCACATTAATATGGTGCAACCACAAAAAAAGATTAAGCATTCCTTTCTTAAATCATGAACTCACTGGGGCAGTGAAAACATATAACCAACGATGCATAGGCAACACTACCCATATTTTCAGGTTTAGACAGGTTTGGGTAAAAGTCATCCAAAAATGAAAAGCCAAAAGCCAAAAAGAAGCAAAAATAACTGTTCATGACTTCATTCCCATAAATTTAACATTATACCCATTTGGTACTACCCAAGAGCGAATATTACCTGCAGTTCACCTCTTGCAAGAGCTGGTTTTAATATATTTGCAGCGTCAATTGCTCCTTCAGCAGCTCCAGCTCCAATTAGAGTGTGCACTTCATCAATGAAAAGTATTATCTCATCACTTTGTTTGATTTCCTCCATTAGCTTCTTTAATCTCTCCTCAAACTCTCCACGATATTTAGTTCCAGCAACAAGTAGACCCATATCAAGGGTTATAACCTAAATCATTCAAAAGAAAGTAATCTATTAGAAAACAATAGGAGAGGCACCAAAATATAACCAACTGCTTATTAAAGGAACAGACATAATCACTTTTATCTAGAAACTAGGATAGATCTCAACCATGCCTGTTTTACAGCAGCATCATTGATTAAATAACAAGGACAGAGAAACTGCCTTAGCACTTCTGTTGATTTAACAGAGGCGACTAGAGGTGGCATGTTTGAATCAGACAGTCATATGTCAAATGAGATTAAGAAGCAAAATCTTTCACATGAGTCAGGTTCCAAACTCCAGAAAAATATGTTTAACGTGTTTTATGAATGTAAAACTTATGTCAGAATCAGCTGACTGTTAAAAACTATAAAGACATTGGACCCAAATACACACCCAAAAACCTTGGTGTTTTGGTGCAATACATTCCTTGTTTCCCAACATGAAAACTCTCAAGCAGAAAAATACAGGAAATGAGACAATATTTCAAAACAAGTTGGCAGTCAATCAGTAAGTTGATTGTATTTAGCGGTACCAAAAAAGGGAGAAGGGAACACTACCTTAAATTTACAGTGAACCTAAGAACTATAATTAATCGTTGACACAGATGAAACTATTATCTGACCTTCTTTCCCTCTATGGTTTCAGGTACATCACCATTTGCAATTCTCTGAGCAAGACCCTCAGCAATTGCTGTCTTCCCAACACCAGGTTCTCCAATTAAACAAGGATTATTTTTAGTGCGGCGCCCTAAAATTTGAGTGACACGTTCAATTTGCGGCTGCCTTCCAACAACAGGGTCCAATTTTCCCTGCAAAGGAGGGAAGAATAGATATAATAAGTCTATGTATACATTGATGCATCATATCATCAATCATCAATAAATACAGACTTTCAATTACCTCTTCAGCTAGCTTGGTCAAATTGGTACCATATTCCTCCAAAGTTGGCATTTTATTGCCACTGCTTCCTGCGCCCACAGTAGCAGTGACACTGTCAGCACTCTCACCAATCATGCGAATAACCTGTGCCCATAAAAAAATATATTAACTAACATGGAAGTTAAGATTATCAACAGATCAAAAACAAAAAGGATGAAAGGAAACTAGCCTGTGTGCGAATATTAGTTGGATCAGCACCCAGGTTTTCAAGAACACGTGCTGCAACACCTTCGCCCTCACGAAGGAGACCCAGAAGCAAATGCTCAGATCCAATATAGTTGTGTCCTGAAATTCTCATCAAGTAAGGATTAAATGTCACAGCAAGCTACGACAAAATATAGAAACACCAAAGAGGATCTTCATCGCTCATGGGAACACAAAAGCTCCAACTCACTTAAATGTTTCGCTTAAAATTTTGGAAGGAAAAGGGAATCAGATGAAGGTGATTTACCGTGTATGCAGGGGTTAATCATCCACTAGGGCCCAATGGAAGGGTTCCTATTGCATGTATAAGTTTAAACTTGGAAGTTGGAAGCTTTCTAATGCTAACTACTCAGTTTTTGTTCATCATTTCTCTCCATTTCAGTCTTGCAAGCACTAATAAGATATCTCATCCTCTAATAATGGGCACTTAGCGGACCTCCTCGAGTTGTGCAAAATAACTAAAATACAAGATCTAATATAATCCAAATGCTTCCGGTCAAAAAAAAAAAAAAATCCAAATGCAAGTACCCTATGCAAGCGAGTTTTCAAAAAAATTGGTACAGAACAGGAAGACAAGCAGAAGGAAAAAAAAATGGTGAAGATTTTATGAGCTTACTAATTTGATCACATAAGAAATAGATGAATGTACTAACAAATTACCAAGTTGGCGGGCTTCTTCAAGTGAGAGTTCCAATACCCGCTTTGCTCGAGGTGTGAATGGAATTTCAACAGCAACAAATCCACTACCCCTTCCAATTATCTTCTCCACTTCCACACGTGCATCTTTAAGGTTGATCCCCATAGACTTCAGAACCTTAGCAGCAATACCAGTGCCTTCGCCAATGAGACCCAATAGAATCTGCTCTGTTCCAACAAAATTGTGACCAAGACGTCTAGCTTCCTCCTGTGCAAGCATAATCACTTTGATTGCCTTCTCTGTGAAACGCTCAAACATGGCTTTAGGTACACATCTGCTGGCCCTTCCTCGTCTAAAAGATGTTGCAATTGACACCTTAGAATAAAAATCTTGTTCAGATCTTAACATTGTGTCCAAGGGATTAATGGTTCGTAATCCTGAGAAACCAATCATTCCTACTCCAGATGCCCGTAAAGTACACATCATTTTCACTGATCTTCTTGATTTTTTAGACCCCTTATGCTGAACATTCCTTTGCCCAGCCACTAAACGTGGGACATCAATTGATTGAGCCAAAAGCCTAGACATGATTTCTGAATAGTTGGCTGCAGTGATCTGTTAAGAGGATGTGTTAGCCAGCAACACTCTAGAGTTCCAATATCATAATGCATTGAATTGAAATACTTAGGGAGAAAGAGCCGTAGCAAATACAAAATTGAAATTAGAATGTCATACTAGGAGACTAAAACAAATAAAATACTTTCTTCCGATACTTATAGACGTATATTCCTCCTAATTACAGCTTATAAAGAAATCGAAACTTTAATAACCTGCAGATGTTCAATTAAGGAAATCAAATTCATATCAACAAGAGTAATAAGGAAAAAGGAAACATTAAAATAAGCGACATATTAGATATAGTAAGACCACCACTATTCATTCTTTAACAGTAGTGTGTAGTGATCAATAATGGCATAATCTCCATCATTCCCTAATCATATCAAAGTACATAAATAACTATCTTGACGAAAGATTCTTGCCTTAAAGGAATTAAATATAAAAGAGGCACACAACTGTACCTGCTTTCTACCAACAGTTCTAATTTCGAAGCATTGAAGATGAGCTCCAATAAGTGGATTGAGCATGGATAGAAAATTTATAGCATTGACAAATTTCCACGGAAAATAAACAATTGAATAATAATATTAACATCTTTAGTAAAACTCAAACTCTTCAAAGGGACTTCATAAGAAGCACTCCGTGCCTCCGAACACCAACCCCAAATTTCAAGAAACGACGGGCGGTTCATCACCTGAGCCAAACCCCGAATCCTAATTCCTAATAGAAGCAGCTTGTACTAACAATCCACAGAACAGACCACCAAAAAAAAAACAACAACCGTGAATTCAAAAGAAACAAACTTACCCGAAGCCTTAGCAGTCTCTGATAACTAATTCACAGAAAATTTTCAAGAAATGATGAGTATAAAACGGAGGCGGAAGAAAGACCGGTCTTTTTTCGTCCAAAGGAAAAAAGGAGAGGAGTTTATATGGTCGACAAAAAAGAACGGCATGCGAGGTACATATGGTCCCCCGTGGACACTGCAAGATATCTATCCCTATTCTCTTCGTCGTCGATTAGCGCGCGGTACTGCATTATCCTTGATGCACCGTCCCGTACCCGATCATTTAGATTAAAACGGTAATTCCTGTGGGACTGGCCGGAATTCGAGTTAACCGAATGAGTCGAGAGAAAAGCTCATGTTACTAAGTTCGACCCTCAAGGCCTTTTTATACCGTCCCCACTCGTAGAAATAGTAATAGGCTAATTTAAATAGATTAAAAAAATCAATTAAATTAGTTATTTATAATAAATAAATATTTTTTAAAAATATTTTTACTAATTAAGTTTATTAGTTAGAACTACTATTATTAGAAAGACTATCTTAAAAAAAATAAATATGAGAGACAAAATAAATTAGAGTGTTATATTTAGAACCAAAATAAAAATTAAATAAGATCTTATATTAAAAACAAGAGGAAATAATACTATTATTTTTTTAGAAGACTTTTTTTTTTTACCAGCCTTTTTTTAGAAGACTACCTCAATCGTTTCTTTAAACTATTAAATAAGTCAAATTTTCCAGTTGGTTTTTTTAAAAAAATTAATTAATATATTTTCAAATAGTCTATGTCTTCGTATCCTTATTTAATGTTGGTCTAGGGCTTCTTTATTCTTATTTTGCTTCCGAATAATTTGTATTCTTTTTTTCAACGTTGCCGTAATTTTTACTCTTAAAGTTTTGGATAGAAGTTCACATTTTCTATCAACGCCAAGCCCAGAGTCCGTATAGAGCAAAGGCAGGCTTTATAAAGACGGACTTTAGATTGTCTCGACATTCCATAATAGTGCTTCTGGTCCTAAATATAACTAAATACTACTTCCGCTCGTTAATATAAAATTTATTTGACTTTTATTTTAGTTTTAAATATAAGATCAATTCACTTTATCTCTTATATTTCTACTTCTTTTTTTTTTCAAAGTAGCCCTTCTAACAATGATAATTTAGTCAATACACTTAATTAATAAAGATATTTTAGGAAAGACAACACCTATTTAGGACAAATAACTAACTCAACTTACTTCTTAATCTCTTTACATTAATTAACTAGCTCTTATAATTAGGACCGGAGGTAGTATAACAGTTAGTTAACTAATTTAAATAAATCAAAAAAATAAGTTAAATTAGTTATTTGTAATAAATAGGTATTGTCTTTCCTAAAATATCCTTACTAATTAAATTTATTGGCTAAAACCATCATTATTAGAAGGGCTATCTTGAAAAAAATGAATAAATATGAGAGACAAAGTGGATTGGGGTTTGATATTGAAGACCAAAATAAAAGTCCAACAAGATCTTATATTAAGGACCGGATGCTTGTAATTAAATTTGAACTACAAACTAGACTTATTTAAAACTAGAGGCAGTATATAATTTATCAAATTCCCAGTAAGTACATGAATTATGAGAAAATCAAAGTATTAATGGCTTTAATTAAAGATGATTTTGGAATGTTAATTTTTTTAAAAAGAAAAAAAAAAAAATTTTTAGATAATTTTAACCATATTAATTTGTATGATTTAATTAAATGAGTTTTATTTAAAAAAACAAGAAAAAATTTATTAAAAAAGATGGTTAAATAACCCAAATTCTTATTTGGGTAATTAAATTTGTCAAATCCCGTTCACCAAAAAAAATTTTGGTCAAATCTCTAATCAGGTTGTATGACCCAATAAGAGTTTTAAACTTTTATTAAATTACTGTAATGCCTTTTGATTAATTTGTATCCTTATTAGTTATTACACGAACTTGTGAACAGCTTAATTAGAAGGAGAAATACCCATAAGAATGGGAATAAAAATGTCCCGGGAATAAAAATGACATATAAAATAGAGTTAAAATTGATACAGCATCTTAAAGTATATATTAACATGCGTCACAAGTTCACAAGTACTTAGAAGAATAATAAAACTACAACCAAGCATAGAAACGCCAAAGAAATAATTGTTGGCACACAAATTTTTGTTTTGCAACCTATATTTACATAAAAGAAAAGGCAGATAAATAACCAGTATTAATCATAATGAAAATTAGACACGGAAGAGGAAGAAAATTAGTTTACCTTAACAACAACAGTTTAAGGTACATGAACGCTTAATTCTGAGATAATTCTTTATACACCTATACATACACATAACCCAAAACAATTTTAATGACACGTACATATCAATAAAACAAAGAGCCTCCCTAAATTTACCCAAGATTTCAAAATTTTCTTTTCAATTCGTCAACCACAATTAATTAAATTGATATATGAGCAACACATCTTAGTTACATATGTAATAGAAGAGACTTAATTATTAATTTTTTTCTCTCATGTATAAAAAAACAACATAAAAAAGTATCTGATTAATATTCTCACACTCAAGCATACATTTCTCAATTATTATACAGGATAAATTTCTCAATTACATCCAAGTATCCAACTTCCTAATACTCCTCCAATTCTAAATATAAGACTCACTTTTTAGTGTAATTTACACTACAAAATAGATATTATATTTAAAACTGGAGGAATATTATTTATAGACCATTTGAAGCTCTAATGTTATTCTTTTAGGCTTCCAACGTCTTTATCTTATTTTCAATGCATCCAACATTCTAAATCGTAAACAAAATTAAGCTGTTAGATGCATATGGAAAATAATATCAAAGTGCTAATGACATCATAAATAAGATTAAAATACTGAATGTTAGTAGGAAAAAAAAAAGCATTAGAGAACTAGATGCTACTTTATCCTATTATACATTCTAATCCCCCTCTCTTTTGAGGGTAATTGGAGCAAAATTTAAAATTCATTTATTCGATATATAGTGAATATCGATAAAGTGAGCTCTGCAATTCATTCTTTGAATGGAACTTTTATTATTTATAGTGAGGCGTACCACATTTTAATATACTACTACCGCTTATTATCAACATGAAATCTAGTTTATTGAGCAATTTGTACTATAAATTAGATCTTATCTTAAGTATTAGAAACAATAAAAGAACTAGCCCACGTGTGAATATCAGCTAGATCAGCAGCAAGGTTTTGAAGAACACGTGCTGCAACACCGTCACCCTCATGAAGCAGACTTAAAAAGCAAATGTTCAGATCCAATATAGTCGTGTCCTGAAATCAATTAATCCTCAACAATTATTTCAAGATAAAATGTTCAGCAAGCTAACAATATATATATATATATATATATAAGCTCATTTCAAATGATTCACTTAAAATTTTGGAATGAAGTGGAAACATATACAGGTTATTCACACGCAGTGTCCCCAGAAAAGCTTGTTAGCTTAGTGTAATTTGACAGCATATATGGTATAACCAACGATGCCCCATTTAGTAATACGAGGAAAAGTTTCTTATGAAACGAGGGTGGATTTAAAAACATGTTCGGTATGTTGATGGAATTATGGAATAACTTTCATGAATGGTCATACTAACCCATCATCAAAAATTATTATATGTGGCCATGTTGAGTCAATGGATAAAGAAAGGAACTATGGGAAGTGTGTTCCATGGATCTACCCCAAAAATACCCACTTTCATCATTTTTTTTTTTATGAAGTGTGTTCCATATAAAAGTGAGTTCCAGTATAAACAATTTAATTTCAGGATTCCACCTCTTGAAGCTTGATCCCCATAACAGACCTGAGAACCTTAGAAGCAATTCCAGCGTCCTTGCCCATGAGACCCAATAGAATCTGCCCCGTTCCAATATAAGTGTGGCCAAGACGTCTCGCTTCTTCCTGTGCAAGCATCAGTACTTTGAATGCTTCATCTGTAAAATTCTCACACCACATGGCTTGAGCTGCCCATCTGCTACTGTTAGGTCTTCTCCCTCGTCCAAAACTAGCAACCTTGGAATTAAAACCTCGTACAGGTCTCAGCATTAATACTGTGTTTGTGTCGTTCAAAAAAGGATTAACAGTTCGGAGTCCTGAGAAATCTGACATTCTTAAACCAGACGACGTTGTTGATATTCCATGTCCCTTGTGCTGATGATGATGATGATGATGACCATTCCTTTGGCCGGCCACTAAACCAGGCACATTGGTTGATTGAGCCGAAAGCCTCGACATGATTTCTCAACGGTTTTTTTGTTAATAATGGGATGGGATGTGTTAGCCACGCAAGTAATGAATTACACTCTTCGAGTTCAAAGATTAAAATGAGGGGAAACCACGAAGCACTCCATTAAAAAGAAACCAAAAACAAAATTAAAACAAACTCACCACAAGACTTGGCAGTTTCCAATAAGTAATTCCGAAATTCAGAAAGTTACGAATTGCCAGAGTATAGGGGAAAAAAATCCACAAAGAGATGAAGTTAAAGGTTAAATTTTGCCTTGTCTTCTTTCATTTATCGGTCAAGGGCTTATACATAACAAGGATAGGGGATCGTACCTAGACATATATCTTTTTCTTATACTCGTCCGGTCTTAAATATAAGACTCCTCTCGTAGTGTAAATTACACTACAAAAAAGGTTTTATATTTAGAACCGGAAGAATATATACTTATTTGGTTTGGCCAAAATATATATATTTATTTGGTTGTTAGATCTAGAGGGGGATCTTAGATGAGATATCATATCTCTCCTTCAATATATTTTTTCCATCTACGAATATTTATAGAACACAAATTTGTTAACTCTGGCATCACATCAATAAAATTAAGTGGGATAATCTAAAATAGAACCCATAATATAATTTTAAATTTTCAAAAAATAAGAATATTGGTATAATTAATTGTAATTTTCATAAAATGTTTATTCCCTGTTATTGCTTTCTCAAAAAACTTTTTAACATGAAAAATACTACATCCAATCTTTAATATAACATCTCATTTGGCTTTTATTTTGATCATAAATATAAAATCCCAATTCACTTTTTCTCTCATATTTATTCATTTTTCCCATAATAGTCCTTCTAATAATGGTAGTTCTAACCAATAAACTTGATTAGAAAAGATATTTTAGGAGAGACAATATATATTTATTACAAATAACTAACTTAATATATTTTCTTAATATACTCAAATTATTCAACTAGTTCTTATATTTAGGAGTGGAGGTAGTACATAATTATTTAATAACCACTTAAATACTCATCTTGTTCTTAATATAAGACCTATTTAACTAATTTGATTAGATTAAGAAAGTTAGATAAGTTAGTTAATTATATGAAATATGACATATTTTTCCTAAAACCTCATAATCATCTTCCTCAATATCCTCCCTCTCTCTTTTACTTGATTATGGTTGAGGAAGTATACATAAAGGTAATTTAGAAAAAACTGATAAACATGAGAAATAGATCTTATATTTAGGACCAAAATCAACTCAACAATTAGGTCCTATATTAAGAACCAGAGGAGTATGTTTTTATGTGATGAGCTTATTGTTAAAATTTTAAATTTTAAATATCAAATCTAATTTTTATTGTTTTTTCGCTAAAAATTTATGTACACCTTCATTTCCCATAAGAGAAGGAAAACTATATATGGTTCAGTAACAAACATGCAGCAGAACCAAAACCAGCAAAACATGCAAAAGCAAAACCCAAAGAACTAAAGTAGAAACAAAACACAAAAACAAAACGAAATTCAAGACATTAATTCCCAACCATCCTTGAATCCATCCCCTCAAAGCAACAGAGGGTAAAAGCTTTGTCAAGATTCACGAACTCCTCCACCAGTTTCAAGCCTGGCGAGGGATATTAAATTTTAATCGCTTGAATCAATGGAAGAAAAATTTACAGAATGGGCAATGAATCTTCATCCCAATATCTGGGAGACCGCAGCTCAAATCACCCAATTTTTCAAAGAAAACCAACCAAAAACAATCAACAACTGGTGGAATATCCCCATTATGTAGAGGAACAACCTTCCAAACCAAAATCCAATCTTTATCATAGTGTTATTCTTAACTTCAATAAAAGTGATTACAGAGTGGTGAAATTGAGCTATTTCATCACGAATAAAAAGGTATCCGCCAATGCTTTGAACATATAATAGTATCAAATTTTGAACAAGAGTATATAATAAAATACCTTTTTCCTCCCTCATCTGTTGCAAATAGTCTATTCGTTGGTGGAGCACTGGCTTCAAGATCTGTGTACACTGCAACATTTGGGAATCATGCACATTCTGTGTTTGTACTCCAGTGAAATTGGACAGTCAAATTTTCAGTTTCCTGACGTATTTGAGTGCAAAAATTACCGTGTAAGTCAAATTTTCTGCTGTTTTATCCACCATCAATATTATCCATTATTTTGAATATGCTAATTCTGACCTTTTCATAAGCATTTATAAGGGATACAGATGACATTGAAAACTAGAGGGTGATTGTTTGTTTCTTTCTTCATTATCTTTACCTTCTGTAAATCTTGAGTCTGTCAATTCCTATCTCTTTATGCCATTGGGAAAGGCATTATAGCTTCTTTTTGATAATAATATTAGAGTCCAATACTGAACCAGATATGAGAAGTCAGGTTATCTACTAGGGAAGACCTTCAACATGTTATTCTTTAGGCTTGTGATCTGTATGCTGCTTTATCTAATTATACTATACACTTGTTCTTGTGCTCGTGCATAATACGCTCTAACTCTAATGTTAGATAGCATAACAGCTAAGCTGTTACTGTCAGATTCAAAGGGGATTTGTGATGATGTAGATTCTAACATATCAGCAGGATATTTGAAGAAACCTGTGATTTTATGGATCATGTTGAACAGAAAGGCCAGTCAATTTTAGTTCATTCCTTTTGAAGGAAGAAGTAGATGCTCAAGAAGCAAAATATTTTTTTAAAAAAAAAAAACTTTGTAATCATATTTACAGTAAAGAATTGTACTATTAATATACATCAAAGATGGCTTCGCAAAGATCTTACAGGGACTGCATGAGAAACGGCATGGAAGGGGTGGCAACAAAGAAAAACAACGATGAAGGCTTTGCCCAAAAAGAAAGACCGACTATGACTAGGGTTTAAATAAGAAATAAGCGCTAACATCATCTCCACATAAGCAGAAGATGGCCATTTTATGCTAGGATAGCCTCCGGCAAGGTCTCTAAAGCACCAATGCTTCCATTCAGCACCATCACACTCCCATCAGAATCAACATCCACTATAACAGAATCACCCTCTTTGATCTCTCTGGCCAGCATCTTCTCCGCCATGCTGTCCTCCAAAAGTGCCATTATGGCTCTTCTTAAAGGCCTCGCACCATACCTGGGATCATAACCTTCCTCGACCACTCTATCCCTAAACTTTTCTGTAACTTGAAGTTCAATTTCCTTGGCTTTTAATCTGTCAAAGACTTCCCTCAGCATTATATCAGCAATCTCCTTCACTTCCAGCTTTGTGAGTTGCCTGAAAACAATCATTTCATCTAACCTATTCAAAAACTCTGGTCTAAAGTATTGTTTCAATTCCTCAGTCACCAAACTCTTGATACGGTTATAGCTGCTGTCCTTCTCATCATAGTCAAGGTCGAATCCTATTCGACGGCCACCTTTCTCAATCACACTGCTTCCTACGTTTGAAGTCATTATCAGAAGTGTATTCTTGAAGTCCACAGTTCTGCCCTTGCTGTCTGTTAGCCTTCCGTCTTCAAGAATTTGAAGCATCATGTTGAATACATCAGGATGAGCTTTCTCGATTTCATCAAAGAGGACTACAGTATAGGGCCGACGCCGAACCGCCTCGGTCAACTGGCCACCTTCAGTGTAACCGACATATCCAGGAGGGGAACCAATGAGCTTGGAGACAGTGTGCATTTCCATATATTCACTCATGTCAAGCCGAACCATGTCTTCTTCAGAGCCAAAGTAATATGTAGCCAATGCTTTTGCCAACTCAGACTTCCCTACACCAGTTGGACCGGAAAATATGAAGCTGGCAATGGGACGATTCGGGTTCTTCAACCCAACCCGGGCTCGGCGTATAGCTCGACTAATGGCTTCCACTGCTTCATCCTGACCAATGACCCTCTTGCGTAGGGTCTCTTCCATCTTAAGGAGAAGGTCAGATTCATCCGCTGAGATCTTCTTAACAGGAATACCAGTCCAAGAAGAGACTATGTGTCGGATGTCATCCTCAGTAACAACTTGAACTCCATCTCCTGCCTCACTCTCAGCCTTGTTCATCTCCTTGCGTTGCTCTACAAGTGCTGAGATTTGTGTCTTAAGATCCATTTCTCTATCTCGCAGCTCTGCCGCCTGCTCAAAAATTCATGTGCCAGCAGCAATCCATTAATTATTAACTAAACAAGCCTCCAAGTTATTAGGACATAAGTTCACTTGATTAAAATAAGGAAAATGTTAACACTAAACCCTAAGTTATTGTGAAACTGGATAAGTTGCTTCAATTTTTAAAGAAAACCACCATTCTCTTCTTTAGAATGAAAGCATTACCACTTTAAAGTCTTGGTCGTGTGAAGCTTCTTCTTTCTCCTTCACAATCTGCCTGACCTCCTTTTGTAGCTCTTTAGCTTCCTCAGGTAACTGGAATAACATAAACCCAGCTCAAGTATCACAAAACTAATCAATAGAAAAATTGCTAGCTAAGTAAGGTAAAATTACAAAAGATACCTGTGCATGTCGAAGTCCAACCCAGCATCCAGCCTCATCAACCAAATCTATAGCTTTGTCTGGTAGAAATCGATCACTGCAGAAAACATGATTATTTAGAAACCACGAATCACTTGGTTAGAAAACACTTCAAGAAGAAAATAACAAGCTTCAAAAAGCATCTAATTAATCTAATGATATTGCACAATTACATTAGACATGAAATTTCAAAAAGTTAAAAAGGGCTGTTAACATTGTACCACGAGCTTCATTTTAACATGTAACCTTAAATATAATATATTTTTATATATGCTACATCGAAAAAAGAAAAGATTAAGTAAAAGAAATAAATAAAATTGCAACAAACCTGATGTACTGGTGTGACAACTGAGCAGCAGCTGCAAGAGCCTCATTAGTGTAGCGGACTTTGTGGTAAATCTCAAAACGTTCTCTCACTCCTGTCAAAATTTGTATCGTCTCATCCACAGTAGGCTCCGGTATTTTAACAGGCTGGAATCGCCTCTCCAATGCTGCATCTTTTTCAATGTGTTTCCTGTATTCATCCAGAGTTGTGGCTCCTATACACTGTATAGATCATTAAGCATAAACTTAATTTAATTTCAATACAAGCAGCAATAGCGATATTTGGCTACTCATTAATGGTCAATTCAGTAAAGGCTTGCCAAGAACTCCACTAACAGTTGGTCTAACTTGATCATTTGGCATTTTAATGTCAAAACTGTTTTGGAAATTCACATTCCAAACCTCAATGTTGGTTATTACTTATTATTAGATCCATTTGTATTACTCAATAACAAATATTACCTGCAGTTCACCTCTTGCAAGAGCTGGTTTTAGCATATTTGCAGCATCAAGTGTTCCTTCAGCTGATCCAGCTCCAATTAGTGTGTGCACTTCATCGATGAAAAGTATTATATCATTATTTTGTTTGATTTCCTCCACTAATTTCTCTAATCTCTCCTCAAACTCTCCACGATATTTAGTTCCAGCAACAAGTAGACCCATATCAAGACTGATAACCTAAATTATTCAGAAGAAATCAATCTGTTAGAAAACAATGGGAAAGGTACCAAGATATAACTAACTACTTATTATCTAGGAAACAGAATTCTGAACCATGCATCTATTACAGCAGCAAGATTGACAAAATAACAAGGACAGAGAAACTGCCTTGGCACTTCTGTTAATTTGACAGAGACGTCTGGAGGTAGCCACTATGTGCCAAATACAATTGAGATGCAAGATCTTTCAAATGATTAAAGTTCCGAATTCCCCAAAAATGTGTTTAAATTTACACTGAACTTAAGAACTATATAATTAATCCTTTAATATCGATGGAAGTATTTCTAACCTTCTTCCCCTCTAGAGTTGCAGGCACTTCACCATTTACAATCCTCTGAGCAAGACCCTCAGCAATAGCTGTCTTCCCAACACCAGGTTCTCCAATTAGACAAGCATTATTTTTTGTACAACGACTTAAAATTAGAGTGACACGTTCAATTTGCTCCTGCCTTCCAACAACAGGATTCAATTTTCCCTGCAAGAACAGAAATAATAAGCCTGCGTACACATTGACGCATCATAATTATCAGTCATCAATAAATATAAACTTTCAATTACCTCTTCAGCTAGCTTGGTCAAATTTGTACCATATCCCTCTAAAGTGGGCATTTTCTTTTGCGGACGAAAAATTGGCATTAGATTGCCACTACCACTTGGGCCCACAATATAAGGGGCCTCGATAGAACTCGCAGCAATTATGCAAATAACCTGTGCCCGTAAACTAAAATTTAATAACTAACATTGAAGTTAAGATTATCAGCAGATAAAAAACAGAAAAGATGGAAGGAAACTAGCCTCTGAGCGAATTGTAGTTGGTTTAGTACCCAGGTTTTGAAGAACACGTGCTGCAACACCTTCGCCCTCAGCAAGGATACCCAAAAGCAAATGCTCAGATCCAATATAGTCGTGTCCTGAAATTCTCATCAAGATTAAAATGTTGGGGCAAGCTAGGCCAAAATATAGAAACAACTAATATACAATCTTCATTATCAAAATGGCCACTTATGGGAACAGAAAAGCTCCGACTCTCTTAAATGGTTCCCTTGAAAACCATATATAGAAACACCTCAAGCATGCATAAGGTTAAACTTGGAAGTTGGAAGCTTTCTGATGTCTAACTACTCTTAGTTTTTTCTGTTCATGGTTTCCCATCCTCCAATAATAGGCACTTAACTGGCCTCCTCAAGTTGTGCAAAATAACTATAAACATATAAGACAAATTACCAAGTTAGTAATTTGATCACATGAAAAATAGATGACGGTATTAACAAATTACTAAGTTTTTCGCTTCTTCATTTGAGAGTTCCAACACATGCTTTGCTTGACGTGTGAATGGAATTTCAACAGCAGCAAATCCACTGCCCTTTCCAATTATTTTCTCAACCTCTTTACGTGCATCTTCAAGGTTGATTCCGTTTGACTTTAAAGCATGAGCAGCAATACCCGTGCCTTCGCTAATGAGACCCAGTAGAATTTGCTCTGTTCCAACAAAATTATGACCAAGACGTCTCGCCTCCTCCTGTGAAAGCGTGATTACTCGGATTGCTCTCTCTGTGTAACGATCAAACATGGCTTTAGGTACAAATCGTTTGGCCCTCCCTCCTCTAGAAGAAGTTGCAATTGACACCATGGAACGAAAATCTTGTCGAGGTCTCAGAATTGTATTTGTGTGCTCCAAAGGAATAACAGCTTGGAGTCCTGATGAGAAACCTGACATTCTTAAACCAGATGCTCCTAAAGTGTGGCACATTATTTTAACTGATCTTCGTGATTTTTTAGACTGCTTACGTTGATGGCCATTCCTTTGCCCACAGACTAAACCAGCGACGGTAATTGGCTGAGCCAAAAGCCTGGACATGATTCCTGATGGGAGGGGGAACGAGAAGCGACGGTCAGAGGAGAGGAAGAGAAAGGTTTCGATTCATTAAAACGTGTATTTAAGGCACTATTTATAGGTTTCCCCGTAACTCTATAAATAGATAAACGAAACACAAGACAATGATAAATTATCAAGATTCAAATTTAAGAATAAAGAGTTGCTTAGGAGAAGATAGCTACATTTTGACGCCAAAAAAATCTTTTCTTTAACCCTCTTATTATATTGGGATTTTTTTAATTTCTATCAATAACTATACTCTCTTCTTCTTTTTTTGCCAAAAGTAATTATATTCTTAAAATTCAAGTATTAAAATGAAATTACAAATTAAACTCAATAGAAGCCTTGGCAATTTACGATAGCTAATTCAAAAATTTGGAAAGTTAAAATTGATCCGTGGGACGCAAGGATAAGGCTGATGCTAGAAAGGAAATCATAAAAATTCTTATTCATTCAAATATTTTCTCTCCAAAAGTAAAAATAGAATAATCCAGAACTTTAAAAATTAATGACTAAATTCTAAATGTAAAGCAAAAGATATTCTAAAATATCCTAACTTTCTAACCAACATGAAATAATCTAGATTATGATCACATTAGATGGATTCTAATTTTTATTATTAATGAGAAGATTTTTATTCGACTATTATTAATACAATAGAAAACAATTAAATCTTTGTATTCAAGAAATCATCAATACAAAATAAAAAACTTTAAAATTAAAAAAAACTAATTCAGACAAATATAGTTCTAGCTAATATATCATATCAAATAATCCTTGATGCTTCTTAAAGCTTTTTAACCTTCTATGCAGGTCCCCATTTTATCATTGAAAAAATAATTGGCACATCACTATACCTTACCTCAATTTTAAATTTAAATTAGTTCCCTTAGTTTGAATTTTTTTTATTAAAGTTTATAGTTTCATTATTAAAGGAATTAGTCCTTAATTAATAACCCCTTATATTTTCTTGATGGTGTGGCTCCTACATGGCTCTGGCTGACGTGTATGGTTCAAAATATTTCGTTTTAAAAATTGCCTAGTGGATAATTATTATTCTCCTAAAAACGCATAAACGCGTTGGTAAAAAAAAAAATTAAAAAAAGCATAAACATCACCGTTTCAAATCAACGTCTTCTCAAAAAAGGGAGGATGTGAGATATCACTCCAAAGTCAAAACCAGATGAACGGCGTAAAAGTTAAAGAAATAGGGTCACCTTAATCGTATCCTTGTCGTGCCCCATTTCTTGTTCTTCAGGATCTCGACAGAGCTCTGCGCCGGCGGGATCAACGTATTGCATTGTAGGTGAAATTGAAGGAATTCAGAGGCATGCAGGCAGGATAGAAGGAAAGAGCAAACACATCGCTGAAGCGAGGAAATGTCAATCGCAGGGTCGTCTTCTTCCTCTGCAATCTTTACAACAAGCCCCAATTCAACGTCATGGAAATATGTTTGGGACTAAGAGTGGAAATAGGTCGGACGGCCTATTAGGAACCTGTAACCTAGCCTATAAATGGCCTGACCTATTTAACTATCAGAACAGGCTCAGGCCTGTTATCAGGTCTGTTTACCTTATCAGACTAGGCTCAGGCCTGATAATAAGCCTGTTAGGCCTATCAGGCGGCATGAGTCTGTTATTATTTTTTTTTAGGGTTAAAATTGTAAATTTACAAGTGTTAGAAATTTGTGGTGGGGATTGGCTTCGCAATAAGTATGGTTTGAAAAAGAAACCAAAGGTACAAATTTTGAATTATAAAAATATTACCATTTCTTATATTTATTAGTTATTAAATTTTGTTATGATCTAATATATATTTGATTTCTTCCGCTCAAGTGTTTGAACAAGAAGAAGAAATTGTGTTGAAGATCTAATACTTTACTGTTTGATGATTTGTTGTAACTGTAACAAAAATAATTGTGTTAATTTGATTATTTCTTTTTTTTGTTTACATTTTGGATAATTTGGATTAAGTTAGTATAATTTTGAATTGCCTTATATATGTTTGCAATTTGTTAAAAATACAGACTTCTTAACAGGCCACAAGCCAGGCCAAATAAAAGACCTTTCACAGGCCACAGGCCAAGTTCAGGCCAACAAGTCTCACCACAGGCCTGACCTGACCTGTTTCCACCCCTATTTGGGACAATGGTATTATATGTTTTTAGGTAGTAAATAATAATAATAATACTCTGATCCTTAAAATAGGACCTAATTATTGAGTTGATTTTGATTCTAAATATAAAATATATTTCTCATGTTTATCAATTTTTCATAAATTACCCCTATAGATACTTTCTCAAGTCTCTACCATTATCAAGTAGAAGAGGGAGGGATGATATTAAGGAAGATAATTATGGTGTTTTAGGAAAAACATGTCATATTTTTTATAATTAACTAACTCACCTAACTTTTTTAATCTGATTAAATTAGTTAAATATATCTTATATTAAGAAACGGAAGAGTAATAATAATCTCCCTAGCAACAAAATGATCTTAATACTGTTATATATTTAATATGAGCGCTAGTTTGACTTTTAATTTGATCATAAATATAAGATCATAATCTACTCTCTCATATTTATTCTCTCTTTTTTTCAAAATAGTCCTTTTAGTAGTGCACATGTTAAAAGTTCTATCAAATAGTAGTTTTAACTAATGTACATGATTAGCAAGAATATTCTGGAAAAGATAACACATATTTATTATAAATAACTAACTTAACTAATTTTTTTAATCTATGAAAATTAATTAATTAGGGTTTATATTAAGAACTAGAAGTCTCAGCAACCACGTAGGAGCCACGTCATGAAAAATATAAGGGATGAGAACTAATTCCTTCAATAAATAAATTCTAAGAATTTGATTAAAAAAGTTCAAACTTCAAACACTAATTCAAAATTGAGGTAAAAGTATAAGCATCTGCAAATTAGTCTTCTCTTTTTAATTCAATTTAATAAACACATAAGGGTTTTTCTAGATATATCCATTTGGGTTTGAATATAGGTGAATCATGTTATGAAACTCTCATGGCTCACTGCATATAGTGCATATGGTTGCTGCCCAATTTAAAATTATAGCTCCATTAGACTTGTCCATGTGTTTATAATAGTATTGGACCTTCGACAATTTAGGTATTGAGGTTTAATGTATCTCTTAAGTTCTTAGGTCATGGTCTTTTCTCTCTCAACTTTTGATTGTAAATACACTAATAACTCACATGTCATGTTGGCTTTGTGGGCGTCCTCTCACGTCAAGCTCCACTTCATATAAGCATTTTTAAGTCTTGATATTTAGTACAATGTGAGCGATCATGCCTCTATAATTTATTTGAACATTTTAAAGGACTTATTGACTCAAATTAGTGCTTCTTGAGTTTTACAATCTTCATACTAAAGGAGATATCTGATGTCATTTGGTGTCAGTTGGGTTAAAACCTGACATGCAAAAAAATTACTTTTTTAACTTTTTATTAAGAGAAAACACATTTATTCTTTTTCTATGTTAGTAGTGTAACTTAAACGTCTATAAATCTAACGTGGATGATTTTAATTTTTTGTTCTAAAAAAAATGAACATGAGCTAGTTGACTAATTCTAGTAGATTAAAAAAATCTATTGAGTTAGTTATTTATAATAAATAGGTATCATCTTTTCTAAAATACCCTTATTAATTATGTATTAGCTAGAACTACTATTTAATAGAACTTTTAATATGTACAATTATTATAAGAATTATTTTAAAAAAATAAATAAATATAAAAGACAAAATAAATTAAAGTCTTATATTTAGAACTAAATTGAATGTCAAACTAACTTTTAATATTCTAACTTGATTTATCATATTATGAGTGATTAATCTCTTTTTCCTAAATTCAACATAATCCAAATTGATTATAGTTTGCTTTTTAGCCAAGAAACTTCTTCGTTTTTTAAAAACCACACAAATGGGTTAAAACTTAAAAATAATCAATGATATGACGCCTTGACTCAAAATCTTATCGCTCAAATTTTTAGATATTTCTATTATAGGGATATATAGATGAAAACCAAACCATGATATTAAAAATAATTTTATGGTATATGAAGTAAATATGTGAAAGAATTTATCTCGATTTATGAAAAAATATTTTTAACAAATACTTCTACAGGAATCCAAACACCCTCTATATCATATCTCATAATCTTAAACTTAAAACTTCTCAGATCACATCTACTCAAGTTTATTAACACTTATCTTTTTAGTTGCGTCCTTTATTTATCCTGCCTGTTAGTCCTCCAACTCTCTATCTATTGTCACCACACCCCCCACTCTATTTCTCCTCTTCTCTCTATTCTCTAAGTTGATTTTAAAAGTAATTCTTTCAAACAATTTTATGTTTTTTTCAAATGTAATTTTTTGAAATAATCATCACAACAAAAAAATGCTTCCCAAAACTGTTTTAAAACATAATTTCTTGTTTAATCTAAAAAAAAGTGGGAGATTTTTTTTTTATTTTGTCGATAGAAAGTGGGAGATGACTATTGTTGCGAAACACAACTTATATGTTTGCGATTATAAGTTTACTTTGTACGCGTTTAAATGCATGCAATCCTACACAAGCATGTTCACTTGATCTATATGGGTTATAGTAAACAAGTTTTTAGAAGCTTCACCCCTTTTTATTTATAAGTCGCTTTTCATGATTTCATACAATTCAAAAAAAAAAAAGTTAAAATTAGTTCATGATTTTAAAATTCTTTAATCTTATTAAAAATGCCCTTAATTAAATATGATAAATTCTAACCGAATTTTATTCAGTTCTCAAAATGCTTCTATTTACTATAATTACTCGATAATATGATTATAAAAGCACTGGAAAAATATTAATTGTTCCCTAAATTTTGCAACAAAACATTGAATCCATAGTCATCAAAGGTCACAAGTTGATCAACAACTATAAAAGCAATAATATTTAGAGTTAGACCAAAGAAATAACTGTTGGTACAC